GATCTATGTGAATAGTGTTTCTCGCACATGCACCTAACAATTTACGTGATCTAGGACCGAACAGAAGGAAGCTTGGTCAAATACTCACTTTGCGTTGCTTGGTTTTGCTCTGCGATAACAAAATGATTAACTGGTTATAGTCGTAATTGAAAGTGCAGTTGCGTCAACACGGATACGACGGGGCTTCTAAAGCCCGATTTTCAAACCATGGCCGATCTCGGTCGACCATGGCTGACCTGGCCTTCTGTTTTGTCTAGGTGCGAACGGTCGCTCAGCTGTCAGTGCGTTCAATAAAACATAAAACGACCAAATAATAAAAAATACAACGACAACACATCCCTACGTATGATGCACTCTCATCAATCCGTGAGTTTTCACAACACGATCTTGTATGGACCAATAGTTCCACTTGGTACGAAGACTTACAGAGATCAGCCGGATCCATGAGAGCTGTCAGCTGCAACTATCGCCGCCCGCCAGCCGCACGACGCTGCACCGCGGCACGTTGTAGGCTGCAAGAGAGACGGCGAGAGGCCATCTGACCCAGCCATAAACGCGGCTGACCCAGCCAGGGCCGCCGCTGACCCAGCCAGGACCGCCGCTGACTCAGCCAGAACCGCAGCCTGATCCAGCCGGGACCACCCACCGCTGACGCAGCCAGGACCGCCGCTGACTCAGCCAGGACCGCCGCTGACCCAGCCAGGACAGCCGCTGACCCAGCCGGGACCGCCGCTGACTCAGCCAGGACCGCCGTTGACTCAGCCATGACCGCCGCTGACCCAGGCAGGACCGCCGCTGACCCAGCCAGGACCGCCGCTGACTCAGCCAGGACCGCCGCTGACTCAGCCGGGACCGCCGCCTGACCCAGCCAGAACCGCTGCTGACCCAGCCAGGACCGCCACTGATCCAGCCAGGACCGCCGCTGACTCAGCGAGGACCGCCGCTGACCCAGCCAGGACCGCCGATGACTCAACCAGGACCGCCGCTGACCCAGCCAGGACCGCCGCTGACCCAGCCAGAACCGCCGCCGACCCAGCCAGGACCGCCGCTGACCCAGCCAGGACCGCCGCCGACCCAGCCAGGACCGCCACTGACCTAGCCAGGACCGCCGCTGACCCAGCCAGGACCGCCGCCGACCCAGCCAGGACCGCCACTGACCCAGCCAGGACCGCCGCCGACCCAGCCAGGACCGCCACTGACCCAGCCAGGACCGCCGCTGACTCAGCGAGGACCGCCGCTGACCCAACCAGGACCGCTGTTGACTCAGCCAGGACCGCCGCTGACCAAGCCGGGGCCACCCACCGCTGACGCAGTCAGAACCGCCGCTGACCCAGCCAGGACCGCTGCTGACCCAGCCCGGACCGCCGCGGACCCAGCCAGAACTGCCGCCTGACCCAGCCAGGACCGCTGCTGACCCAGCCCGGACCGCCGCCTCACCGACCAGAGCCACCGCTCACCTGGCCAATGTTGTACAGGAACATGACGAGCCGGAGCGGCGGCGTCGGCCGGTTCTTCATGAGACGCGGCCCGTACGCCACCAGCAGCATGTATCCAGCGGTGGCGCCGAGCGTGATCTCGGGCGAGGACTGCATGACGTAGTCTCGCACGCGCGGGTCGCGCCGATGCACCAGGCCGTTCGTGATACTCCGGATCACTTCCATGGTGACGCCAGCGGTTCGTGGCCCTCCTGTGGCGCGCCCGGGGCCGGACTGGCGCAGCCGCGCGTCAGTGCTCACGCGCCAGCTCCCAGAACCGCTTTCGCCATCGGCGGACCGGACACAGGCGGCTGCGTCGGCCACAGGCGGACCTGACACAGGCGGCTGCGTCGGCCACAGGCGGACCTGACACGGGCGGCTGCGTCGGCCACAGGCGGACCGGGCACGGGCGGCTGCGTCGGCCACAGGCGGACCGGACACGGGCGGCTGCGTCGGCCACAGGCGGACCGGGCACGGGCGGCTGCGTCGGCCACAGGCGGACCTGACACAGGCGGCTGCGTCGGCCACAGGCGGACCGGACACAGGCGGCTGCGTCGGCCACAGGCGGACCAGACACGGGCGGCCGCGTCGGCCACAGGCGGACCGGACACGGGCGGCTGCGTCGGCTACAGGCGGACCGGACACAGGCGGCTGCGTCGGCCACAGGCGGACCTGGCACGGGCGGCTGCGTCGGCCACAGGCGGACCGGACACAGGCGGCTGCGTCGGCCACAGGCGGACCTGGCACGGGCGGCTGCGTCGGCTACAGGCGGACCTGGCACGGGCGGCTGCGTCGGCCACAAACAGACGGAGGATGTGGACGGGCGGGGCGAAAGCGGCAAAGCTGTGGCTATAGTGCTCTATGCATTTCAAGTTCTTTGCTGAGTTACTGCTATTGAGGATGCCAGGAGGTATCGGTTAAATGACGATATACATGGGGCAAGCAACTTTTACCTGACGCTTCAATCTGTACTTATGACTACGATTGAAAGGGTCGAGACGGGCTAAAAAAGTGCACTTAGACACCAAGACGCATGAATCCACCAAATATTCCGAATCTGGATCTCAATGTAGGTGTGCAGCACTATAATCTAGATTTCAGTGCAGGTGTGCGGTACTCTAATCAGCATCTCGGTGTGGGTGTGCAGCACTCTAACATGTTTCAGATAGGGTTCGAAACCCTTCGCATGCATTCTCATGGGATTTTATTGACACCACCGTGCAGTGTATGTCACTGCTAGGCATGTTTTGAGGTGTGGTTGCTGAAGTTGCCGCATTTGTAATGGCATAAGGTCTGTCGAAGGCTATCTGTCAACTACCGATGCCGGCCCCCTTTTAGTAATTCAACTTAATTATTTTGGTAAGCAGTTAATATGAAGAGAGTAAAATTTCAGGGATTTTACAGGCTTTGAACTGCAACTGATGACACCAGTCTTTCCGCAATGAGCGTGCATTTTGCATGACCGACAGCCAGGCCGACCCGAACGCCATGCTGCTCGCCTTCAGAAACGACGTCACTCTGGAGATAAACTTTCGAAGAACTCCCGGCCCGAGCGACCTGATGCCCTCGACGTCGACGCAGCACCAGGCACCAACGGTTCATACGGAAACTGTCGCTCTCCGTCACAGTTCCATCACGAGCAACCTGAAGCCCTCAACGTCGACACAGCGCCATGCACCGACGGTTCATACGGAAACTGTCACCCTCCGTCATAGTTCCAACCGAGCAGCCTAAAGCCCTCGACGTCGACACAGCACCAGGCACCGACGGTTCACACGGAAACTGTTACCCTCCGTCATAGTTCCATCACGAGGAAAAAGAGTAAGCATCACGTGCGTCATGCTCAGGAAACACATGGGCAAGTCACACCGGTCGTGCATGCCAGTGGCTATGTTGCGTCTCCCGGTTAGCACAGTCCAAACTGGCTGGCGCGGCATTCGGCCAGAGCGCAGGGGTCTCCCGACCACGGCCCGCGGGACACGGAGAGGGGCGCCGTAGGGCTGGGTACCGCTGAGGGGTGCTGAGAGGGCGCTTCTGAGGGGCGCCGAGGGGGCGGGGAACCGAGGGGACGGAGCGCTGCTGAGGGGCGCCGAGGGGACGGGAAACCGAGGGGGCAGGGCTCCGAGGGACGAATCGCCGCTGAGGGGTGCCGGGGAGGGGGGACGGAGCTGAAGGGTGGGGCACCGCTGAAGGGGTGCCGAGGGGACGGGACGTCGCGGGGGGGGGGGGGGGGGCGCCGAGGGAGCGGGGCGCCGCTGAGCCGGGACGCGGCCCGCCTCTACGGGGCTTAAGAGACGGTGACACAACCAGTGCCACAGGTTACAGGCGCGATACAGGCACGATAGGTTGCCTCACCGGTGCGCCGACGTCTCAAGCAACCGGTAACCGACCATCCATGTGCCGGCTCCGGTGGCGGAAAGAGAACCTTGTGGAGAAGTCGACGCATGTCAGCCCGCTGATGCCGTCTCCGTGGTCTGGGCGGGAGATGCTGGACTCGTACTCCAACGGGACTTGGCACGAGTCCCAGAGCGGGCGCATTGTCCGACTCCGACTCCGACTCGACTGAAATGGAAAGGCCAGTCGGCAACCGGCCAACGAGGGCAGAGGGCCAACTTCCTGCAACCCCATCGGCCGGCTCCATAACGAATGATTTCTCCACCCAGTTCATTGCGCCTGTATCGTAGTCGCATGCAAGTGCAAGCGGCCAATAGGCGCGGTCTACGTCTCCTGACCCAGAAAAGAACTGGTTCCGTTAAGGCAAAAGTGGACGTACCTCAGGTCGGTGGCTATCCACCCACTACGGACTGCCATCAGCACCGTAATCCGGCTCGGGGAGGTACGCTGGTCGTGTACCTGAGAGCACGCGAAGCTATGCCCATAACTGCTAATATCGCTAAGGCTGGAATCTACATTTTAAAAAGCTTGTACAATACATGCTCGCAATGAGGAGAAAACTAGCGAAAGCAAAACAAAACATCGATGTTGTTTTATAACCGCCAGGTACAAATGGCAAGTAAAATGACCGCGACAAAAGCCCCGCCAACGAAAAATGGACCACGGCACGTTTTTGCTCCTCTCCGAGGTCACTAGCAGGAGCCCCGCTGCGACGAGCAGGATTTTACTGCTAGGAGTGCAGCCGCTGCCGGACGCGCTCTGCACCACCGGATTATGGCTGGCGGTCGAGCTGGTCTGTTCCGGTCGCAGCCCAGTCTTGCATCCGCACTTTCCACTTTCCGTCAGGCTCGGCGGGGGCCCGCGCCGCACCCGCACCGGTGACCAACTCGGCGAGCACAGTCTCCCACCAGCCCATCGACGGGGACGACCGTCAGTGGAGCAGATTCGCCGCCACGTACCGTCCGACAGAGAGCACCAGCGACCGGCATGGACCAGGTCTGGGAGGTGGCGCGTGTGTTGGCGCACCGGCGCGACCCGCGCGTCTCCGGCCGCCTCATACAGTCGTCGGCGGCCGCCGTGCTGCTGCCGCTGGGCGGCTACCTGCTGCTGGTGGGCTGCGGACCGCGGTTGATGAAGGGCCGGCCCACGCCGCGCCTTCGGCTGCCGCTCGCCCTGTACAACGTGGCGCAGGTGAGGCGGTGACATGGCTTTCTTCTCCCGCTCACCCATTGCAACATGGCGCAGGCGAGGCGGCGGACGTGGCGCACCACAGGCGCTAAGAGCGGATGGCCTCATCTGTGTCACGTGTTACGTCGACTTGGATATTGACCCACATCCGGCCGGGGGTCTGAGACAACCGCGCCCGGCCGGGGAAAGCTGACTTCCCGCCCCTAAGATTTCCGACTTCCAGATGCCGCATGAGAGAAACAAAGACACTATTTTAAGGTATCCTCACATAAAGAATGCATATCAAATTTTTGACCTAAGCTCAACCGTGAGGTCACCAGAGGCCACGAAAGGTAAAAAACAGTCGTTCTGATAGATGCAGTTAAAATCTATGTTGACAGGTCGAAACGGATATTGAGGGCACGGAAATAGGTGTTAAGACCATGGGGAGTACATCCAACCTTTTTTATTATTCACTTGGATCAGGTCCGATCAGGTCACCGTTCAAAATTGACGTACCAGTATCCTGCAAGAACGATACTTTTCTTCACAACGGACTTCTAGGTTTCCTTTATAACATGCAGCTATGGGATAAAAGCATTCCAGACACCACAACAAAGTGATACGAATTGGTTGGAGTACGCGCGCTCGCAGTCTTTCCTTGCAAGATTAAGGCTCCCGGAATCGCAGTGCCCATATGCTGGACGCCGTCGGTCACTGTTGCTAACAGCAGGCTATGATCTGGTTGGGCAAAAACGCCCATGTGCGGGAAAGTAGTATCTTCGTACGCTTTATACATCTGTTATGCTAAAGCCGTATTATCAGGAGTTCACATCTCGTTGTGCGCATTTCACATGCGCAACATCCACATTGATTCCTCGATCAGATTAGCTGTTACACCAAACCGAACAGCAGATAGCGCAACATTGCGTGAAATATTTGTTGTGTCGTAACTGCTAATCTGTTCAGATCTACAATCTGTTAACTGCACAAGCGGAGTTTGCGGCAATATCAACCTGTAAAACGCACTATTTAACTTAAAAAACGTTCGAAAGCACTATTTTCCGCCACGCTGTCGTTTTCGGCCGGCTTTCTACGCCCACAAAATGACAGCTGCGACAGGCGACGTTGCGCAGCCCATGGACACTACAACGTTGGGCTTCGGCGTTCTCGCGAGATGAAATTGCGTTGGAGCGTGCTCGAGACTTATACTTTTAACTGTTCTAAGCCATTTGGTCAATGCCTGATTCTGTAAAATGATGAACGTACCCTGGCGAAGATCGGTCGACCTTACTTACTCAAATGGTCGACACTGTTTCGATCCATCCCAGTAAGAAAATTCCACACAAGAATGAAAAACTGTTTCTATATGACTTAACCTGTAATTACAAGGAATGCTGATCCTAGAAATATTCAAATCACGGTCAGTTTTATTAGAAGAGCAGCGTAATTACTAGTTTATGCTAAAACAATAGCACAAAAGAACGTTTACAGTTTCAGTACGCTCCCCGGCATGCACAATTTCCAGGTTATATTTTGTGACTTAAGCAGTCGCTCCTCTCACATACGCTGCGGAAGTGATGAATTTTCGGAATAAAAGCAAAGTACCTTGCCCTTTTACAATTGTTTTATCTCCAGCATCTCGTGGCTCACTGCATTGGTGTCAACAGTAATGCAAACATGGCATGAACAAAACGTTTCCACGAGCTCTCGACAACTCATCTTGACCCTCGGGCTAGACCAGCCGCGCATGCGCATTGTACATGGACATATTTTGAGCGCTACAGTGCCTTCTACTGTCGCGCGTTTAGCACTCCCCAAAGCATAATGCATATATGTGTGGTGCGGTATGAAGTTCAACGCATGAAAAAGGTGGACCCAAAGAAATGTTCCTCCCGTTACGCCGTAACAAATGAGCATCGCTTAACCCTCAGAGCTGGTCGTTACGATCCTCCCCCGCCCATTCTAATGCTGTTTCCAACCAAAACAAATAGAGCTTCACGGAAAAAGCAGTGTATCGATCTAAGCGAAATCCTACCATGTGTATGTTGCTAAACTAGTGCCTCACCCCTTCATGTCAGGTCAAGGGTGAATTTATCCAGAGAGTTGCTTTATTTCAGCTTTGCATGGAAGTACTTACGAAATCATGCCAAGCACTAGCACAAAAACTGAATGTGTTCTTTGTTTAATTCTAAGCGAATATATATATATATATATATATATATATATATATATATACATATATATATATATATATATATATGGCCAAATGCATATATATATATATATATATATATATGTGTGTACATATAAAGGTTGTTGTTTTTTAACATAAATTTATCATGTAGGGCTCTGCGTATGTGACGGTGCCTGCCAATGGCAAAAAAGTGAAACGAAAATAGTCGAAATACGACTAATCAACAAAACTAGTTAGTGGTCCTACCAACAAGTCAGGTGGGATCAAAGCCAACAGGGCCCAAGGTGAAAAAATCATGAGGGATAAATAGTCGGTATTGGTAAAATATTGGAAAAAAACATCAAAGAACGAAAAGCCAGCAGGAAAAAACTCGAATGGGAGAAAAATCGTTAGGCATAAAAGTCAGATAAGAAAGCAATTAAAAGAACAAATATTTCACGTAGATAGAAGCCAGTCGTAATGCAAGTAAGTAAGCAGGTGGTCAAGAGGATTTAAGACAGGATAGCCTTGATGGCTTCAGAGTCCGATGTGTAACGCCCGGCTGTCCGGGACACTGTTGCGTCAATGCGCCACGTAAAAGCGATGTGTCCGAACCGGCAAAACCTGCTGGCAAACAGTGGAGGCGGTTTTAATCTTTCAGCAAAACTGTGGAGCGTCCCAATGAAAGCTGGAACGTCGCGAATCTAAGCGCACAGGACCTGATGACAGAGTAGGAGACGTTTCTGTGCTGCATCCATTGTTTAAAACAATGTGTTTTTTAATGGGGTGCTTGGTGCGGAATATGCGCCACGAGTGACATGTGAGTTGGGCAGGATCGGCATGCGATAAGGTGACAATGACATGCATCCATTGCATTTGTGTGCTTATGCTCAAGCTGGAGGTCCTAAAACAAATTGTGAGTGTTTCGTTTTGTTCACGCAAAGCTCCATTTTAAATCTTTGTGTAAAAAACAGTGTTTGACAAGCTTTTTGGTCTTTGCGATGGTCAAAAATAATCAGACAACATACTTGATCTTTGCTGTGAGAACTAAAATACCATATGTGGAAAAATTGAATGCAACTGTCGGGCCATTTTCACGTGAGTTAAATGAAGCTGCGTTGTAACGCTGCGTACGCTGGACTCCAAAATTCTTAAAATGCATTTGCTTCTTACAAATCGTTGGCACTGTAGTACCACACCCCGGAGTTATTATTAGACATAACGCCTGTTGGAGTTTTACCAGAATATGCTGTTAAGATATGCACCAAAGGTGGCACATTCCCTTGGGACCTACCGTATAGGAGCCAAGACCTCTTTAGTGAGTGCGGCTGTGTTAGTTCAGAGCATGCTTTATGGTCATCGCCTGTTCTTGATAACGGAGCGTCAAAGGCGGCCAAGCTGGTCATGTCAACGTCCGGTGGTCATAGGGACAGCCGGAGGTCCTCCCCTGGCCTCCCAACCCCCACCTCTCGTGAAAATGCGCGATGGCCCCACCTGGGCTAATGCGTCGCCCGCCATGACCTGCCTCCCGTTCTTCAGCAGTTTGTGACCGACGTCACTTCGGCAGGCTGTGACCGGCGTCACTTCGGCAGGCTGTGATCGGCGTCACTTCGGCAGGCTGTGACCGGCGTCACTTCGGCAGGCTGTGATCGGCGTCACTTCGGCAGGCTGTGATCGGCGTCACTTCGGCAGGCTGTGATCGGCGTCACTTCGGCAGGCTGTGATCGGCGTCCCGTGCTTCAGCAGGCTGTGACCGGCGTCACTTCGGTAGGCTGTGACCGGCGTCCCGTGCTTCGGCAGGCTGTGACCGGCGTTCCGTGCTTCGACAGGTCTGGCTGAGCGGGTACCTGCTGCACGAGACGCTGGTCAGCAGGCCGTCCAGCTGGCTCTGCGTCCCTGTCGACGTCAACGACGACCCGCGGGCGCAGCGGCTGGCTGATGCCATCGCCGTCTTCGTCCTGAGCAAGATGCTTGACTTCCTGGATACGGTGTTCCTGGTGCTGCGGAAGGACCACGAGAGGATGACGTACTTCCACGTGTACCACCACGGCTCGATGTTGTTCAGCGGCTGGATAGCGTCGGTGTACGCCCCAGGTTTGTCTCAGCTGGTGCTCCGCTCATGCATCATGTTCATGGTTCATGGTTCTTGTTCATCTTCTGGTTCATGACGGCAAGCTTTTCCGAAGCAGGATTTTTACCTGAAATAGGCATGGGGCCTGATGCGCTAGGCAGACTTAGCAGTTGGGAGCTGGAGCCAAGCAGTTCTTAAAGGGAATATTCCGCATTTTAAGATATCAAAGCAACCATGATATAAGATGAGATAAGCTCTCATAACCTTTTGTATGATTCAATCCGTCATTGTTTGATTGCGTCATCGTACTTTACACAACATTGATTGAGAGCCAGTTGGAGGCCGTAAACTCCCCGAACCGCCCGCCTGAACTCTGCGAATACCGGGTTGATTAAAAAAACGGTTGAATTTCTCAGATCCATATTTGCGGAAAGAAAGTCCCACTTACTTCTTATGGGGGGGGGGGGGGACAGAGGGAGGCGAAAACCTAAAAGCGAATATTTTTTATGTCACTTATTTGTGATAGTAATCAGTCTATTTCAACGCAATTTTCAAGAGAAAGACGGACAATTATTTTGAAATTCATACAAGATGGCAATATTTTGAAATTGGAAATCTACCGTGCCATCAAGGAAACGCAAAACGGAGTAAAAAACATTGTAATGACGGGTTTTTAATTCGATGCATGAGACGCAAATGTCACTGTGCCTTGCTTTGCTTCTAGGAAAACAGGTACATATCAAAATTGTAACATAGGTAGAACCAGAATGCCTATTAAAGCGGTTGGATAAGAACCTGGGTAAGTAAAAGATGTTACTGTCTGGTATGAGGATGATACGCACTGTAATTTAATTACAGTGCCAACGTACAATTACGACAGATGGCACAGGCGAATTACGATAGGTGCCACAGGCGAATTACGACAGGTGCCACAGGCGAATTACGAAAGGTGGCACAGGCGTACCCAGTTCTTCAAAGAAGGGAGGACGGGACACGTGACTGGAGGGTGGCCCATCGCCGAGACCGATAGCGGAAGGCCTGTTGTTGGTGGCCACGTTGTTCTTATCCTGCAATGCCCCCGTCCTTTTCTTTCTGGATCCGCCCTTGGCATCGTTTGTTTGGAGCGTTGTTCACTGCACAGCAGTGAGCGATGAAATGTTATTCCGATTTTAGGCCATCAAGTTCCAGGTGATATAGAACCCTTGCTGCATCCCTGGAGGCAACCCTGCTCAGAAACGCTTCTCTTCTTTCCTCTAATTACAGTTGTGCAAAGATAGTACCACGTTAACCTCTCCTAGCACCCTAGTGCCAGCATTGGCTGACGAATATTCAGATTATTAGCATTGTAATGCAGCATTCAATCTTCTTTACACTCTTTTTGCAAGATCTGGACACACCTATATATATGTACATATATATATATATATATATATATATATATATATATGTGTATATATATATATATATATATATATGTATATACATATATCTATATATATCTATATATATATATCTATATATATATCATACACATATCTATCTATATATATATCTATCTATATATATATATATATATATATATATATGTGTATATATATATATATATATATATATATATATATATATATATTTATATATATGCATATATACATGCATACATATATACATATGTGTATATATAAATATATATATGCATGTGTGTATATCTTACGAAAGGGAGCTGTCATTTTTGTGAGTATTTATAGAGCCACTAGTGTAACCAGGGATACCTCTTATCTTGGAGAAGTGTGCGCCATCAACAACGGCATTCGCAGCAGTGATCAGTTTGTCACGCATAGTTTGAGTTAGTCTGCTGGATCTTTTGTGGCACGAAGTAATTTTTCTTTATCGTTCAAGATAGAATTAGCTTCTCATTACATTCTTTATTGTGAAGCATCACGCAAAGCGATGGTTTGCTCGCTCGCTGAATAAAGATGTCCTCTTTTTCACAAAGCTCTTTACCGAAGTCCTGAGCTCTTGTTCGAATACTTGTTTATTTGTTTATTTAGGGCATGAGCACTCCACAGGCAAAAGCCCAGTCACGGAAGCAGTCCAGTTTTAAAAGCAATAAATATACCACACACACAAACAAAAAACCTGTGTGTGTTTGTGTGTGTGTGTGTGTGTGTGTGTGTGTGTGTGTGTGTGTGTGTGTGTGTGTGTGTGTGTGTGTGTGTGTGTGTGTGTATGTGTGTGTGTGTGTGTGTGTGTGTGTGTGTGTGTGTGTGTGTGTGTGTGTGTGTGTGTGTGTGTGTGTGTGTGTGTGTGTGTGTGTGTTTGTGTGTGTGTGTGTTGCTACTTTCACGTTTTTTCGTGGTCTCTCCCAGAAAGCTATTTTTAAGATCCTTGTCTATTGCGTCCTTTTCTTATTTTCCAACATTTGCGATATCCTGGGACAAAATTATAGTTCTTCTTTCTTCTTATGTTTATCGTATTTTGGCAAAATGTGGCAGTTTAATATAAGTTTCAGTACCCCCTTTTATTTTTCAGTAAGATCATCGTTTGATGAGCTGATGCAGCTGTCTTTAGTTTCCAGTAATATTTTGTGTCCAGCATGGAGTCTTGAGAATTTTTGCGAAATGAATTTTCAGCAAAAAGTCTAACATTACACTCAATTACGTTAAAGTCGTCAAACCCTTTTCGTCTTAGTTCATGTTCAGGGAAACATAACTACAACTCTTTTCTAAAGCTTTCACTTCTTTTCTTAAGAATACCGCAGGCCTTCTTCTGCCCCAGTTGATAAATCACCAGCTTTTCTCCATACCTCTTGGTGGTACCTTCTTCCTTAATTGCCTGGTCGTGAGGTTTCATGTCAGTGTATCTTGGCAGAATACTTTTTGTGTGAGTTCATGCATGTTTGATCAAAAGGAGCATTGCTTCCGCATGAGCAAGCTTCTTGTTACAGCGTACGAGACTCCCAGCTTTCCGCTTAACTGTATCGCAAAGATTGTTCGTACAAAGTCACTCATATATTCGCCGTTATCTCTACATTATTGCGTTACGAGGTTTTGTCTCATCATTGGGAAAATATATATATGGCACAAGTAATGAGGTTTGAGTTTTAAGTTATAAGTTTCAGTAAGTGAATTTCGAGGCGACCTTTAGGCGCCACAATTTTTGTTTAAATTTTATGTTGACCCTTTTAACTTTACCAGAAGCCAGAAACTGCAGGATGATTCATTTCTGATTGTGTTTTTGAAGTCCATGCACTGAAATACATCTAGCCGAGAGGCAAAAGCAGTAGCCGGCACGCACACAAAGGTCGCCAAGAAATGTGCAGCACAGGAACGCAGGAACGCATTAGATGCATTTCAAATCTGCCATGACCTCTGCAAATAAAGAGAGCTGAGACAATAAACACTTTTAAACTCACAGTGCCAAAAAATGACCTGTGAAAAAATATCCAGTAAAATCTGTGGTTTCGTATTCAACGAGATCGCGGATGATATACTACAAATGTATGTGCCCTAAAAGGGCTTTGTGCATCCTTGAAATTGATTTAATTTTATGTGAAACCCGATAAACCTGAAGCTTGAACGACGCTCCAGTGTCAGCACGCTCCGTGACTCTGCTGAGGCAGCAACTGTAGACAACTCCCTATACTACAGGATTGTGCTGAGGTAGCAGCTGTAGGCAACTCCCTATGCTGCGTGACTGTGCTGTGGTAGCAATTATAGGTAACTTCTTATACTCCGTGACTATGCTGACGTAACAGCGGTAAACCACTCCCTACATTTCAGGCGGGGCCAGCTGGCTGCCACTGGCCATCAACAGTTTCGTCCACGGTGTTATTTACAGCTACTACCTACTGGCCAGTCTGGGGCCCGCGATGCGCCGCTATCTGTGGTGGAAGCGTTACCTCATCCATCTGCAAATGCTACAGTTCGCTGGGATCGCGGTTTACTCCGTTCTTATGCAGGTTAGCTCTCCACTTGAGCGGTCTGCATTGTGTGTGAAGCACTTCCAAAAGCCACTTCCAAAAGGAAGCGTTACCTCATCCATCTGCAAATGCTGCAGTTCGCTGGGATCGCGGTTTACTCCGTTCTTATGCAGGTTAGCTCTCCACTTGAGCGGTCTGCATTGTGTGTGAAGCACTTCCAAAAGCCTGTCGCCAGCACCATCTAGCTAGAAAAGTGTATGCATACAACAGGCGATATCTTTTTGCAGGCTGCTTTTTGCAGTTGTATAGTACGTTCGGTGCTAGTGAACAGTTCTGGCCCCGCCTAACTCCCGGCATTGCCTCCTCGGGCAATGATGCCGTACCCCCGCACCGATGTAGTGTGGGCTCCTTTCACGCTTCAGGTAAAAAACTGATTGGTCGGCAGGCTGGGAGATCCGCGCATTTTCTCGTTCTCTTACAGCGTCCGCATTAATTGCATCACGGCTATGACGTCATGATAGGATCTTCTACAGTTCTGCCGGTTTCCCGTTACCGACCGTGCCTGTCCCAGTCTGGTTACCATGTGGCTCCGCAGGCACGTTTATGATTCATCCTACCGACATTGTCACACTGCACTACGTCCTTCATCATGAAGCCGTAAACATCCACCGGAGTAGACGTTGTGAGCATGAGCACGCTGCAGCTATTTTTAACTGTTTTTCGCCACGCCTTCCTCAATACACACGCACGAGTCTTGTCACCGGACTTACCTCAGCAGAATGAAAGCATGCGATAGGTACACAGATACCCAAAGGAAGGACAACCATTAATCCAACTGATACGCGTCCTAGTCTATCGAGTACAATGCAAATAATGGAGAGTGTGGTACAAAAACAGCTGGCCGACTGCCTGGACACGCTATGTTTACTGGCTGCAGCACAACACGAATACCGACAACGACACTGGACTGAGACAGGTCTCTGTGTCATCACTGATCGCGCCCTTCGTGCCATGAACAGCGGCGAAATTTCAGGGTTGGCCCTTTTCAGTCTTTCCAAAGGTGCTGACGTTATGCCTCACCAGAAACTTCTCGAACAGCTGAATATGACGGTGTCAATGCCAGTTGGTTCACAGACTATTTCTGAGTATGACGCTGTCAACGCCAGTTGGTTCACAGACTATTTGGCGGGGCACGTGCAGCACGCGCGAGAGCGTGGTCTTGATGGCTCCGGCATAACGCCTCGGCCAAGAGAAAACAACATCGGGGTGTTCTAAAGGGAGCCTTAGCTGCGTCTTACGTGGTCCTATGCATGCTTTTCGCCAACGGCCTGAGTCTGCACGTGCCCAATGGTGCCGCCATCGTTAAGTTTGCAGATGATCCGCAAATTCATGTTACGAGTAGAATTAGACTTTGGCAATTATCGTTTCTCTCATAGAAACCGCCCTTGATTTTCTCTACCGATTGTTTTGACAAAATGACATGAAGGTCAAGAGCGCCAAAACTGAAATATTTGTACGGGGCACACCGACAACGCCGAGGAGCGTCACTCCCGTTACGGTCACATGCTGTGGGTCCGTAGTGAGGCATGCAGCGACGGTGAAAAACCTGGGCTGTGCCTAGACCGCCATTTGACCTAACCAGACTCAGACGCACATTGACATGACCAGGCACACATTGACATGACCAGGCACACATTGACATGACCAGGCACACATTGACATGATCAGGCACACATTAACATGGCCAGGCATAAATTGACATGACCAGGCACACATTAACATAAGCAGGCACGGGTTGACCTGACCAGGCGCACATTGACATGACCAGGCACATATTGACATGACTAGGCACACATTGGCATGACCAGGCACACATTGACCTGACCAGGCACACATTGACATGGCCAGGCATAAATTGACATGACCAGGCACACATTAACATAAGCAGGCACGGGTTGACCTGACCAGGCGCACATTGACATGACCAGGCACATATTGACCTGACCAGGCACACATTGACATGACCAGGCACACATTGACCTGACCAGGCACACATTGACATGACCAGGCACACATTAACATAAGCAGGCACGGGTTGACCTGACCAGGCGCACATTGACATGACCAGACACATATTGACCTGACCAGGCACACATTGACATGACCAGGCACACATTAACATAGGCAGGCACGGGTTGACCTGACCAGGCGCACATTGACATGACCAGGCATATATTGACCTGACCAGGCACATATTGACCTGACCAGGCACACATTGACATGACCAGGCACACATTGACCTGACCAGGCACACATTGACATGACCAGGCACACATTAACATAAGCAGGCACGGGTTGACCTGACCAGGCGCACATTGACATGACCAGGCACATATTTACCTGACCAGGCACACATTGACATGACCAGGCACACATTGACCTGACCAGGCACACATTGACATGACCAGGCATAAATTGACATGACCAGGCACACATTAACATAAGCAGGCACGGGTTGACCTGACCAGGCGCACATTGACATGACCAGGCGCACATTGACCTGACCAGGCACATATTGACCTGATCAAGCGCACATTGACCTGACCAGGCACATATTGACCTGACCAGGCACACATTGACCTGACCAGGCGCACATTGACCTGACCAGGCACATATTGACCTGACCAGGCACATATTGACCTAACCAGGCACACATTGACGCTATGACTTCCACATATATGTACATGCGTTCTGATCGCCCTCAGTCACGCGTGTCGCGTGCTGCCTGCGAACACGCTGATAATCATTGTGCGGGTTCTCGTTCCTTCGGTCGTTCGGTACCGCATGAGCGTGCATGGCTCGTATGGCGTGACGCAGATTGCTCGCGTGCGGCAGGTCAACTGCTGTGCTCGAGTGGCCAGTGGTCGGAGACGCTGTGATCGCATCTCAGGTGTTATCGGGCAGCCTGGCAGCTGAGCAGCTGCTCGAGTGGCCAATGGTCGGATGCGCTGTGATCTCATCTCAGGTATTATCGAGCAACTCGGCAGCTGAGAAGCTGCCCGAGTGGCCAGTGATCGCAGACGCTGTGATCGCATCTCAGGTGTTGTAGAGCAGCTCAGCAGCTGAACAGCTGCACGAGTGGTCAGTGATCGCAGACGCTGTGATCGCATCTCAGGTGTTATCGAGCAGCTCGGCAGCTGAGAAGCTGCCCGAGTGGTCAGTGATCGCAGACGCTGTGATCTCATCTCAGGTGTTATGGAGCAGCCCGGCAGCTGATCAGCTGCGAGCGGCTGAGCTAGACGAATGCCACGCCGTCTGCGCAGTTCAGCGAGCTAATAGGGCAGCTAATCCCGAGTACAGCAGCAAAATCATACGTCCCACGAGCTAAGCGACTACAGCACTCGCAAGGCAGACCGCGTAACATAGCCTCGAACGCAGACTGAAACAGCCAGGCGCTAATTGTGAACCAGAGGGGTCACTCTGCTGAAGTGGAACAAGGTTGATCCGTATCTACTGTCATTCCATCGAAACTTTTGAGCGAAATCTTGTTTAGACGCCTGAAAACCTCTTTTGCACTTGCTGTTTCGTTACAGCGACGCTCGTGTCTGTATCTGCGGCGTTTTATTTGTATTGTACCACATCGTATTTTGACGTATTATTGATGTACTATTATACTGACGGGACACGTGAAAAGCCACCATGGTTCTGAATTATTGACGAACGCACATCTGCATCTGCATCTGAATCATCTCGATGTGACCTTCAACAGAGCGTCATCAGACGCCGTTGGGGTCGGGATGTAAGGCTCTCCTTGAATCCGTAGGATTTTGCCGCACATTTTCTGTGGAGTCCATGCCGACTTAGTCCGGTGTCGGACTAAATCGGCATGGTTTCATGGTCTCAAAGGAGATAAGATTTCTTTGAGACCACCTCCAGCACGCTATATTTTCGTGCGCAGAGGCGTGATCTACAAGGGGAATGAAGAGATTTCTAGAAGAACACCTAAATTGCGGATTCTGAGCGGACTTCAGAGGTGAATTGAGTTTTCAGAACCTAGTTTCAGTTCTGAGAAGGGGACATCCTACTTGCTTTTACATTTTCTTCGTGTATTCATAGAGAGCACCGAACTGAAGTTATCCAACAGTATGGAAGTACTTGTAATTTTCCTCAGCATTAACTTCGTGCCATTATACAAGGTTTACTGGCATTGAAAACAGAGCACTTACTGCAAAATATTTGAGTGTGCGCAGGCCTCTAATGCATATTTTTTTGGCAAAACTAAGTGCATGCTCATAAAAATGTGAATACTACAATGCTACATTAAGGCCATCAATCAGGTCACTCGTGGTGTATCTGTATATAATGCTTTCACTTTGCGTTTCAGGTGTACTGCTAGCAGTCAGCCATGATTTTTGTTTTGTACCTGTATGGATGGTACCTTGGTCATGACTTGTTAGCCACCTGTTAAACTGCTCCTGTTACCATTTAAAAGCGCTTTTTTGTGAAATATTCCACGAAATGACATGCTTATATCAAAAGTCTTGGATACATTCAAACCATCGATGATCAAAACCAACATTTTGTTAGATCAAGTTCATCAAGTTCCTTTCATAGGATTGTTACAGCGCGAGTAATACGTTGTAAGGTACTTGCTGAACCTTTTAAGATTAGATCGTTTTTAATCCGCTCTATGCGCGTAGTCCGACAGATGAGATTTCGGTAAACTTATGCTGCATATGAAGTTGACCGGCAGTCTCCTGGTTCATAGGAATCCCACCACTCTGCGCCGTGCGTGGGTGTGACCTTGACTTTGATTCATCTGACCTGTGCGTCAACCTCATCGCACCGAGCTTTATAACAACTTGGCTGTGACTGATGTTACACGTATATGACGTTGACGAGCGCGAGGTTTGTGTGACCTTGACCGCGATCATTTTGCAGATGCCGGGGCTCCGCTGCGGCCTGCCGCTCTGGACGTGCGCCATGCCTGGCGTCTACCTGGTGGTGTTGCTGACGCTGCTGCTGCTCAGCCTGCGAGGGCGGCCCGAGCGGGCCGCGCCGCCCGTCGCCACGAGCGCCTCTCGACCTGACCTCGGCGGCAAGCTGCGTCTGTCGCTGGCTCAGGCTCTCGCGCGCCACGGCCTCGGCTGTTGTATCGACCACGGCCCGTCACGCTGACCCGCACTGGCGCTGTGCTGTTGACCGAGGGTGTGGGGGTGGGGGGCATTGGGGCTGATGGCCGTAGGCGCGTGCATGCCACATACATGCCGATCGCTAAACCCGATTAACTAACCTGTTTGTTGTTGTTATGAATTGGGTCATTTTCCTTCCCATGGGCGCGGCGCAGGGGCGGCCGCCACCGTCTTGCTGTGGCGTGGACACTGCTGAGCCTTCTGGATTTGTTACCGTGTCGGAAGTCGAGACGAGCGTCAGACGAATGTGCGCTGTGTGCAGCAGTGCAGAAGCAGATTAAAGTGTGCAGAAGCAGATTGTTTTTACTATAAAAAGCTGCCGTGAATCGGCGTGCTTTTTGGTTTAAGAAGGTGTTATTTATTTCCATTAAAATGCACGGCTTGTTGCGCCCCGTTTTAAGCTGCTGTCATTGGTTTATACTTTTGCAATGCATATTGCTCACGAAATGGCAGGCCTCACCTCCTGCCGTGACTTGCCAAAGCTAGCGTTTGGGACAACAGTCGTGCAGGTCGCCGGCAGCACCACCGCTGCACCTGTAAACCCACACAATTTGCAACAACGAAAAGTCTGCGACTTATGGGCTGGCGCGAATTCCATTCATTCGCGACTTTCCGAGTAAGGTATGCCACAGAACATCACAGCGCACCTGTATGCCACCGTATTGACGCAGTCACAAAACTTTTCTACCAGTCTGCAAGCAGAATGGGTTTGTTTCTGCCGGGTGAGAGAATAATGAGTCGTGTCGCCGGGCATGGTCGGTACCTAATGTGCTCCAACCGTTCGTTGGTAAGTGCACCTTCGCGAATTACCAGAGCTGTGGGTCATGGGGGGAAATTAAGCAAATATGGGTGAAATGGTTCACTGTTGGTATGTATCGGTCCATCTATTCAGTGATCTCCCCTATCGAGTTAACAGAATGCACTTAGATATGTGGCAGGGCTCAACATGTTGAACAGATGCGCTAAAGGTTAGTGGAACATGCAACAAAGTCGCCCAGTCTCGAATTCACAGCGTTGACAGTACATGATAAGCTGCATTATGACAGCTTTAAGCAGCCATAATCAGTGTGGAGTGTATGAAATAGCCAATGTCCATAATGTAGAAAACGTACCGAGGGAAAAAAATAACGCTTTACAGTTCGTTCGGGTCTAAATGCGCAAGGAGTGAAAACGGATTTTCCCAAAACCAGTCGTGCGGACAGTGCTCCGGCTGTTTCTGACTTTTATTGACTTTTTCGTATACATAGAGCACCATTCATAACGTTCATACACTGGTTATTTGGTTTGCGCAAAATTCATTTTGACGATTTTGCTCAATCAACGACATCGGAGTTGCAGCCGTAATTAATTTAAATGTCAAACACATTGTCGCTGATGATTCAGACACGTTGATTAACTTCACCTATCTCACGCTGTATTGTAGTTTTCCAGAGATTGACGACTTGTCTTGGCACGATCGGACGGGATGAGCCAGGCGGGTTGGCAGAATCCATGCCCTCACCCAAGGCCCTTGAACAGAGCCCTCAGCAGGGAAGTGCCGTGGCCCCGGCGTGAGTTTAGCCCGACGTGGAATAAGCTGGTGACATTCATGCTGTCAAGCTCCTCGCGCGCGGTTTCCGGGAGATCCTCCAGAGCGGAGAGACGTTGTGGAAAACACGTGACTGACAGCACCCCAGCTCTAAACCAATGGATCGAGCCAGTTGCCATGAACGTTGAGCTTGTCGCGATGCCACGGTTATGTATTTGTCGCGTTAAAATTCCGTATTATTGTAAGCAGAGTCCCCATTTCGTTCAGAACGACATGATTAACTTGGAAATATTTTCGACGGGCACGTTTCCCTTGCAGGAGTCTCAACACGCACTCGGGTAGGAGCTGAAACTGTTCCACGAAGGTTTTTCCCCAACGATTTCCGAACGGCTCGGCGTTGTAGCGCTTTACCTTGCAGAGTTGTAAATAATTAAACAGCGGATCTTTTGATGCAGAAACAGATGCACCTTATAAGGTCACAATGTCACTGGCATATGGCAGGTCAAAGTCAGACCATGGCTGTCAGCGAAGGGCATTTCTAGAGAATCGTTCAATGTGGAGCAACAACAGAATGTTGGACGCAGCCATACAGATCTGAAGTAATTTGTTAGGCAATGAAACAATTAAATTCATAATTACAACCAATTTTTTTACCTAGGGTCAGGTAGAAGGATCAGAACGAGGTCAAAACTAATTTGCTGGTTTTTCTCGAGAGCCTGGTTTTTGGGGATAGTTTCTGGTGCTCATCTTTAATGTATTAATGACAGGGACCGCAGCAGATATGTTCCGTGCAGTTTCTAAGGATCAGAGCAGGTCACTGACTTAATATCACCCGAGCCAATATTTTGCTTTTAGGATGCACCGTCTAGCGTAATCCCAGACGTTTGTTCGAATGCCAAAATAGGAGCAGTATCGTATATATTTCCCTACCTTGGCCTTATAAAGATCAAACAAGGTCACTGACCTTATTGACCTTTTGCTTAGAATAGGTATCTAACCTCACAGCGGTCGCATGAGAATGTTTCGGGACACTTAAGACCCCAATCTGAAGTTTGACCTTGTTTGATCTTTTTTGACCAGAGGGTCCTGACCTAAGAGCCTCAGATTTGACACGACTGAGTTTACATACAGACCATCCTACCCTGCTACTTCTGGTGTCTCTGGCTATCTTAATTTCTGAAATTTCAGGGATGTCAAATTAACCCCCACCCGAGCGGAG